CTAACTTACGTACATTGAAATACATTGGAAACTCAAAATCTTTAATACCTCACCAGAAACCATTACACTTAGGATTCAAATCCATTAACGGAAAAAATTGAACAACTACTGCATCTTTTTTTTTTTAATTTGAAGAAAAGAGGGACGAATTTTTATGTTATGAATTTTTGAAAATGAAAACAATTTAATTCTATCTTGAAAACGTATTCTTCTCTTTTAGCTACGTTATATTTTAAGAATTAAATATAATATAATATTTTTTGAAAAAGTTTTTGTTTAATTTACTTCTCGCCTAGATCAGCAATATCAATATTCATCATTTCAATAACTTATATATTTTTTAAAATTTACTTTATAACTTAAATATGTTATTTAATAATATTTCTGTATTATTAAATAATTACATAGTTGTTGATATAGGTATACGTGTACCTTAAGTATGAAGGTCATTAGCGAAATGCCGTTCGTCTTTTTTATTCTTTAAAATTAAAATTTATACTAGACAAAATAGTCATTAATTATTTTTCAAATATTTAAAAATAATAATTTAATTATTTTTCTAATATTTAGGATAAGTGATTTAATTATTTTTCTAAATTTTGGACTTTGATTTCTCAATTCCTTTTAGTGAAGTCTTTATTTTTAACTCCATTTAAATTGAGTAGTATTAAATTTCAAGCACTTTCAGTTTCGACCACTTTATACTGTTTTTAGATTTAAGATTTTATTAGTAATTTTCATCACTTTCATCTCATTTAATTTAATTTTAAATTTAGGATGCAAAAGGTAATGATATTAAAATAATGAAAGACTCCATGTCATCAAAGGGTTAAAACTCAAGGTATATAATTAGTTTGGTTTTGGTATTCTATTCAAAGAATTCTTGCTAAGAAAATTTGAGATTTTTCTTTTCTGGAAACTTATGTTTGATTATTTGGGTATACAATAGTATGTCCATTACTATTTAACCCAATATTTCTTCTATGAAAATTATGTCAAAATGTAAATAAACATTCAAGAAAGACTATAATTAGACATAAATTATCCCAATATTCATGATAATTTTTATATTCATTAATTCACATCAAATTCTAGAAATACTTTTGAAATAACACTTACAATTGCACGTCAACTTTACATAAATTAATATTATTTATATAATTTTTAAAATTTTATACTTATTGATATGGGGTACACGCGCAAAGCGCGTACCCTAAGACTAGTACTATATTAAAAGCACGAAGGCCCTTAGCGAAATGTCGTTCGCCTTTTTTATCCTCTTAAACTAGAGTTCACACTGGACAAAATAGTCATTTGATTATTTTCCTAATATTTAGTAATAGTAATATAATTAATTTTATAATATTAGGACTTTGATATCAACTAAAAATTTAATTATTAAATCTTTCCTTATTTCAATTAGGTGAAAACTACTAATATGTAGGGATTTTAAAAAGGAGTTAAATTTTAATAAATAAATATCTTTCTTTTGGTATTTATTATTTTGACATAAAAGATATTAACCAATTGTAATTATTTAATAAAATGGTAAATCTTTGTACCAAAAATTATTTATTTCCAATTTTTTGCATCAACAAGCATCCGTATATATTTGGAATATTCGTTTCGTTATGCTTTAATTTTTTTTTCTTTTCTTTATCTCTTTGTTTTTTGTGAATTTATTTATGTAAGTTAAAAGTTCTTATCAAATTATCTTCTAGAATTTTTTTTAATAAAATATGGTTTATTAATATTTTATTTGGTATTTTAGTTCTTTAGTTACTACAGTAGTGGAGCCATAATTTTTATTATTGGGTGTCAGTATTTAAATAAGTAAATACATGAAGAAGTCAAGAGGATATATATATATATATATATATATATATATATATATATATATATATATATATATATATATATATATATATA